CTTTGTAGGACAAGGGAGGATCTACAGGACTGAGCTGGAGCACCATTTTCCTAGGTCTTTACTTTAGATATTCTATGTCTGTTTGTGTATTAAAGTGTTACATTCTATCTTAAATACATTTCCATTTTGCAACCTTGCTTTAGGGTTGAATTCTGAGAAGGACTGCTTTAGGCATTACCTTATTTTCAATCATTTGGCTCTGTTAGTTTTTCCTATTATTGTGGCTCTTCCGCAAGAGTTCAGTAAAAGGTGTCACTACTTGTGGCCACAGGAGGGCAGGGCAAGTCCAAACACTGAATGTGAATGCTGACTGCAGCCTGGCTGCAGTGAACCAGTCCTTCCTTGTCCTCACCACCCAAACACTTAAGAGCCCCACTCACTCCCGTAACCTTCCTGTTTCATACTGTCAGTGGGACCGGCTCATTCAGTGCCCAGTGCCCTGCTCGCCAGTCAAAGTGGGAGCTGCTCTTCAACATCTGAGAAGTGACAAGTCTCTTCCCCATTCCCCAGATTTAGCACATTGCTTTTTTTTTTTTTTTAAGATTTTATTTATTTATTTTTGAGAGAGAGGGAGGGAGAGAGAGCACAGGAGGGGAGGGGCAGAGGGCAAAGCAGACTCCCTGCAGAGCAGGGAGCCCGATGCAGAACTGATCCCAGGACCCTGGGATCATGACCTGAGCAGAGGGCAGACGCTTAACCCACTGAGCCACCCAGGTGCCCGGTTTAGCACATTTCATTGTATTTGTGAGGATCACAATTCTCTGCCTTTGGTGTTCTTACATATGTCAGTGATGGGGAGAAAACAGTCACCAAGGGAAGTGATGGGGAGGAAAGTTTAAAAAAAAGGAAAGCACATTCTTATCCTGTAAGAGCAAATCATTTTGTTGATGAGAGAAAAGGGAAAAAATGCCATTTGTTGGACCTAGGCATGCCATTCATAGATAATCATCTCACTTCTTATGCCTCATATAACTATGAAATAGGTTGTATTATCCCCACTTTGTCCAAAGTAGTATAACCCTGCTCTTCCCATCACATCCCACCACTTTTCATAAACTCACAGAAAGAGAAGAAAACCCTTCTGAAGAAACAGATTAGCAAGAGTAATTAGTATTGCCCAGATGAAGCCCACAGATACCCAGGAGTTGATGATTAAACCCAAATAAGGGAGGATATAATTAAGCATAACTTCCAGGACAGAGTCAGTTTGGAGTTGAGTTTTGGGGGAGGAGCGAGCCATGGATTGACAGAGTAATAAAAGCGCTAAGGAAGGAAGGAAGTCATGTGGCAAGGAGACTAATTTAGTTGAAGCAGAAGAGTTACAGGAAAAAGTAATGAGAGCTGAGGAGGGGGAGCAAATGTTGAACTCAACAGGCATATGCTAAGCTTCAGCTCTAAGCTAGCTACTGAGCTAGGGAATGGGGAATGAATGGGCATATAGGATCTCGACAGCAGGGGGTGGGGAGGAATCTTAGGAGCCATCACAGAAGGGAAGAGTGGAATATTTGAGGAATAATGAGTAGAACCAAGTGGTACAGGGTGAGTGAGGGGAATAAAGAAAATGACCAAGGAAGGCAGTATGTGCTCTTTAGCAAAGGAGGGAACTGATGAAACCATGTTTTAGAAAAATTAACTGGTAGTAGTACGTAAGAAATACTGGAGGGGAAGGAATGGAATTGATAGGACAATTAAGATGCTTACTGCAATCCAGGCCTAAGGAAAAGAATGCCTGAACCAGTGACAGAGAAATGGATAAAAAAAAATTTCTCCCTCTAGTCTGTTCTGGTTTCCACATTAGTCTTTAGCTTGGCCAATGTGACTGTCCCTCAGAAGCTGCTGACTCCCTTCTGAGCCTGCAAAACTGTGGACTCAAATCTGAAGCACGGAGCCTCTATGGAGATTACATGAGAACTTTTGCAAAGGAAGAAGCTCTGTGGCTCTCCCAAGAACTTGTAGGTTAAGAAGCTGGAAAAAATTTCAGGAACATTGATGGGGTATCTGCAGGGAAGGCTGGTATTTTCCTTCATAAAGGCACCATGTTTTAGGCTTGGTTCTTCAGCTTTGCAGGATCAGAAAGTTGATTTTGTCAGTAGTGTCTCAGAGGTAGACTCACCTTACCAAGCTCAAGACCAAAGTATAAGTCAGAATATCTTAGAGAACCATAACCACCATAACATCAAGAATAGCAGAATATCTTAGAGAACCATAACCACCATAACATCAAGACTCGACAAACACATCCTGCCATCAGGACATGTCATTGAGCCAGCATGCCCTCTCCTCTGAGCCACACTTGGATGGGCACTGCCTGCGCATTCTTCTGTTGCTCCCCTTCTCTGTGCTCCATTTCTGGCCAACCCTCTCCCCTTCTAATGGACACATTCATTCTTTGGATAAGCCAGTCTCATCCATAGGCTATAGCCAAATCTTGCTCTGGTCTGTAAGCCATTCTCTTTTCTTAAGGTAACTGTTTTTCATTGACCTCACTACTCTGTAGTACTCTGTTGATACTGTAGTTTAACTAAGGAAAGTCCTATTTTTCTATTTCCAGGTTTTTGGTGGGAGAGAACTTGCTGTGGTCTCCTTATACTGCCATGGTAGGAGTTTCTAATCTTCCACCCTTTCCCTGGGGAAAAGAAAAGAAACATTTCTCTTATGCAAAATCTGTTGTTTGAAGTCTAAACCATATTATCTTCTCCACTTTTGGAGATCCTTCGCTCAATTCCATTTCTTTCGTTTTGTATCTGCCTTCTCATGCTTTAATACTGATTTTGCCTCACTGAAGTTTTGGGTTCAGTTCTTTCCATACTTGTTACTCAAATTGAAGTCCAGGCCTCAGGCTCAGTAAAATTAACTTACTTCTCGTTTTGCCTGTGACAAAATAAAATTCACGTTATTAAAAAGATACTTTCTCTTTACTCATGAGGAACATTTCTTGGGCAGTGACTTCATACTTATCACTGTAGTACCTAAAATATAATGTGGCAGATGACAGTTTGAGAAGGAATGGTCAAGAATAATGTAGCTTTACAAACTCCGTAAGAGAAAAGAGCATCATATAATCTTTGTACCCTGTACAATATTTCATATTCTATATAGTACACAGTAAAAAATTACTGCTTGATAGAATGAATGAAATACTTGGTTAATGAATCCTCAGAACTGTTCATGGAAGATGGCAGAGTTTTAATCATACTGGTCAAAGAGAAATGCATTTGGAGCCCCTTTTCAGGCACAGAATAAGTCATTAAGTATGACATGAAGTCATCTGAGTCTCACCACACCTCCCTGTGTGGGTACCAACACGCTGGACTGAAGCCCTTTGTTCCGTTTGGAAAGTCTGGTACCTCTGCCGCCTTGTCCTCAGGAATGTCGTTCTAGAAATAAACCGGCCTTCTCCCTGGGGTCTATGAGTCATACACAGAAGTTAATTCATCAATTTTCTTAGGCTCTTTGTAAAAGTATTTCAGAGAGTCCTTCATGGTAAGGCAAAAAAAAAAATCAGGTTCCTCTTCTGTTTCTTTCCAGCTCTTGCCTCATTTCCTCTTTCTGTGCTTCCTCTACTACCTTACATTTGGCTTTTACTGATAACCTTTACCTGCAGACCCAGACCCCAGTGCCTGAGCGAGTGTTGCCTAAAACAGGAAGTAGATCAGCAAAGCCTCATCGCCCCACATACCCAGTTCCATTCACTCAGATGTGGAATCAAATCACACTCCACTAGACCATTTCTGTCTTCCTGGCTGCTAATTACCCTTGTGAGTTACAGCATGCCAATGACAAATTTGTATAATCTATGTCTGAGGTGAAGCCCGGGAGTGCACCATTTTTTTCTTTCACGCTTTTTATAGCAAAAGTAATAATTAAATACATTTTTACTGTGAAATAAGAGCTGAAGAAGCGGTGCCCGGGTGGCTCAGTTGGTTAAGCATCTGCCTTTGGCTCAGGTCATGATCCCAGGGTCCTGGGATCAAGCCCCACGTCGTCTTTGGACTCCCTGCTTAGCGGGGAGCCTGCTTCTCCCTCTCCCTTTGCCAGTTCCCATGCTTGTGCTCTCTTGATCTCTCTCAAATAAATAAATAAATAAAATCTTTTAAAATAAATAAATAGCTGAAGAAGCGGAAGCTCCCCCTTGTTAACTAAGTATTTAACTTGCATTGCTGTATTATTTTTTGGCTGTTTTTGTATTCCAGAGTGCTTTTTAAATACAACAAAATTGGGCACCTGGGTGGCTCAGTTGGTTAAGCGACTGCCTTCGGCTCAGGTCATGATCCTGGAGTCCCGGGATCGAGTCCCGCATCAGGCTCCCTGCTCAGCGGCGAGTCTGCTTCTCCCTCTCCCGCTCCCCCCTCTTGTGCTCTCTCACTCTCTCTCTCTCAAATAAATAAATAAATAAAATCTAAAATAAATAAATAAATAAATAAATACAACAAAATTTAAGAAGTATGAATAATAAAAAGGAAACATATTTTAGAACTCTGCCCTGTTTCCACTCCTGCCCACCATTAACAGTTTGATGGTAGCCTTCCAGACCTTTGTAAAATGCATTTACATACATATGTATGTACTTAGGCCAAGGGTTTCATTTTTATTTATTTTCTTTTATTTTTATATAAATGGTTCATACTATACATCTGTTCTACAACTTTATTTACTTACTATTTCTTAGCTTTCCTTGCCAGTGCATTTAACTTTACTTTGTTAACAGCTGCGTAATTCTCCAAAGGTTGAGTGTGCCATAATTTATTTAAACATTCCCCTATTGATGGGTATTTGAATTGCTTCCTGTTTGAGGTTTTGATTATTTGTTATTACAACAATGCTGTACTGAATATCTTTGCATATGTGTCCATGTGTACTATCTAAGAATGTCTCTAAGTTAGATATCCAGGGGATAGAATTTGTGGGTCAAAAGATGGGCACATTTAAAGTTTTACATTTTTCAAAGTTTACAATTAAAGAATTAAACACTTTATCCACTAATTCCCTTTCTTCTGCAGAGAGTTCTATCCTGGGAACTGACATTGACCTTCAGACTATAGACAATGATGTTGTCAGCATGGAGATTTTCTTCAAAGCCTGGCTACATAACAGTGGAACAGACCAAGAGCATATCCATCTTCTTCTTCCTTCACGATGTTTCAGCAACATTTCCAGAGCCAGAGATGATTCAAGTACACAGCCCCAAAAGACCTATTATATAGGCTATGATTATCCTAGTCTTGGATTAAGATTCTAGATTTGTGAGTCGTCAGAATACACATTAGTTGAGGTTTAGAGACTGAAGGAGGCTGTGCAGTGTAAGCACAAGGAGTAAGAAAAGAATTTCTAAAAAGTAACCACAGTTAGAAAAACTGAACCTAATTAAGCCTAGACAGCAAGGGCCAGTTAGTTTAGGAGGAAAGACTTAGATACCTCAATAATAGGGCAGCACCTAAACTAAACAAGAGCACAATGAATCATATATTTTTCTCAAGTTTTTCATTTTGAATTGTAATAGATATTATTGATATAATAACTTGACGCATGCTGGTACCTCAACAATTATCAACAGGGCCTGTGAGAAGGTAAAGAACAAAGATTAAACCAAGATTAAATAGAGGTCTTTCGGATAGGAAGACATCAAACTGAAATAAACTAAAACAACTACAGAAGCAGGCCCCACAGAGGACAACTAGTAGCCCAACTAGTAGAGGTGGGAGTTCAGTGAGAAATATGGGTATAGACTCCCACTCCAAAAGGGGAAGACACATGGTGGTCCTTTCTTTCTGGGGAGAGCCATCAGATCTTTACCCGCCACCCCTCCCCACACCCCCATTTCAACCTAGGGCCTAGGATGCCTTTGATGACTTACCTTGATTTCAATCTGTCTTTCCTTGGTGTGTAAATCTTCCCTGGACCTCCTTTCCACTCCTTTTGTCCAAGGCTGATGGTGCCAATTCCTCCCTGTTCCCTCTTCTGGAATCCACTTCATATCTGTTTTTCCCAAGCACTATGCTACCTCCTTTTCTGCATTATCTCATTTCATCTTCACCCACCACCATGAAGCAGGTACTGTTACCATATGTCATTGAATCTAAGATGCTATCAGTTATGAGATACACCATTACTTTATGTACCACAAAGAAAGAAAAACACTGCCAATTAAACATGACACAGTGCTTTCTATCACTTAGAAATATTATTTTATCCTTACTGAGAAGTTAAAGTAGTAAATAAGTGTTTGGAGTGTGTGTCTGGCCAATGGCAATTGTAAGACATATAGAGATGTTAGTATGTGGGGGGGGGGGGAATGTGTCTTAATTAAATACCGATATTATCTCCCTGTTTTACAGATGAGAAAACTGAGACTTAGAGAAATTAGACATTTTCCCAGGACAGCACAGAAAAATTAATAGCAGAATTTGAAGTTATGCAACTCCAGAGCCCACTCTTAACTCTTAAGATTAGAAATCTATATTTTGTACATTTGACCACACTCAGCCCAGAAAACATTCATCAAACCCAGGTCTGTCTGCCTCCAGAACCTGGACCCTTACCTACTACACAGCCTGCTTCATGCTGGGCAGTTGTGAACAAAGATGCCGCCTCATGCTGGGCACTTCTCTCATAAGGAGGGCTGGGGCCCTCCAAGGCCAGGAACTCCAGCAACCAGACTTTCTTCAACTGTTGTACAGCACTTTCCCATGGTATAGTTGAGAATTTCTCTACCTTTCCCCTCCCTCTTTCCATGGCTTTCAGTACCAGGGTCAGAGCCAGAATGTTTATCTCCATCTGCAATCATTTTTCAGAAATTTGCAGGTCTTCTGGGTACACAGTGGAACTTAGACCCAGATTCATCAGCTCTTCTAACTAGGGAGGCCTACACTGGAATCCAGATGTTCAGGCGCAATTGGAGTGAGATCTGGGGAAAGTAGCCCTCCTCCATGGTGGGTATGACCAACCTGAGAGTTTATACAACTACAATAAAGACCATACTGTAGTTATCCATTGTTTAAAAAAAAAAAAACTGCTGCATTACCACACTGGATTTCTGGAAATGTGGCTCACTATAAAAAATAAAACAAAACAGTACAGAACGCTGAGCTCTTCTACTCTAGAATCTTTTGAGGACTGCTCCTCAGATGTTCACTCTTACTCCTTACAAGGTTCTCCACCCACTCCACCTTCTTCTGTAGCTGCCCAGGGCCCTTCCCCCCCCCCCCCCCACCCCTTCTCTAGGTGCTTCCCTCAGAGGCCTCCTTCTGACAGTGCACAGTCAGCTTCAGATGAGTGTCTTTTCTCGTTTCGTGGGTTTGGAGTCAGCCACCTCTGCATCTGGGTTCAGGGTGGTGAGAAGCACACCTGATTCTAGACTCTAGTCCTGGTAAGACAGTTTTCTCAGCTTTGGAATACTGTCGAGATTATAGTGCCAGTAGTTCTCAGCCCTGGCTGCAGTAAGAATCACATGAGGGACTTTTTAAAAATACCAGTATCTAGATTCCATCTCCAGAGATCCCACTTTCACTAGTGTGAGGTAGGGCCCAGACATCAGTGTCTTTTAAAAGTTCCTTAATAAAAAGGTGATTCTTATTGCAACCAGAGTTGAGAATCTCAGCCAGATGAACACAGCTCTCCAGTCCTAAAGCCCAGATATCTAACAATGAAGAAGTCAGGCACAGAGGAAATGAGGGGAGTCCTAGGCCAAGCCCCTCCTACTGACTTCCTGGGCTCTGAGACACAGCAGGCCAAGACTGTCTTACCCAGAATTAATGTCTACATCTGATTGCTGGGCCCAGGAGGGCCAGATGGATCTGACCTTTAATTCTGCCATCCTATCTCTTTTTCTACATTATTTCTGCTTTCGTTTTTATGTCATGTTTGTTAACAGTATTCAAACCTGGTATACATTTTATTGAAAAACTTTGTAGTATCAAGGCTGCAAGCCTAGTGCAACAGTATATTGTACACTGTGGCATGTGAATGTACCTGCCAGAGCAGAACCTTAATATAGAAGGGCATAATACCTTGATGAATAATTCATACTTAGGTGAAGCCCCCTCAGAATGGTTGTCTGTTGCCACAGTGATGCTCCAGAAGGTTCTACCTTCAGGTTTCTTTGGGGAATTAAAAAATAAACCATTTCAGGAACTTATTCCTCCCCCTCCCCTGAATGTCCCTAGAAGAGCCCACAGAGAAACAGTAGCTGTCAGCTGACTCCCTGACTTCTGCTTTCCTGCTCTTCCTTCATCTGACCTATAGTCTTGCCAAAGCTTAGCCAGAGGGAAGCAGCAGAGATCCCATCTATGATTGCAAAGGGCCTCTGCATATCATAGTGTTGGCTGCCTCCTCCACAGAGGGCCCATGTTCCTCTCGGACTGGATCACAAGCTAGATCTCTCACTATGAGGCAACTGCTCAGCCAGCCCAGAAGTAAAACAAGTAAAAACCCTATCAGATGCAGAAAATAAACTATTGTATTGAGCAACACTGTAGGTCCAGACCTGCTCTGCCTTTCCAAACCAATCATACTTTCCCCTTTCCACTCCCCTGCCTCCTCCCAAGCCTTACTTGCCTGGTGGATGTGGAATGGGTAGCAGATGTTGTCTCTTAATCACATAGCCTGAGGTAACTTGTGACAGACTATCCCTCCCCCCAATGCCATTTTTATTGTAGTGTGCCTGAAATGTGATCTCCAAGAGCGACTCCTCAGCCCGTCCCTTCTCCCTGGCACAGCTGATGGCTCCTTGAGAATGGATGACCCCAAAGGAGACTTCAGCACACTCTACCAGATGGCCTCCCAGTCGTCAGCCTCTCGTTACAAGCTCCGGGTGATAAAGTATGGGATAAGGGAACTTCCCCAATCCATGCAAATGCTTATTCTTCCTGGTTCCAACTAGGAAGTCCTGAGGTAGAGGGCATCTCCAAGTATCAGGCAGGTGGGAGTCAGTTCCAAAGCAGAAACTAGTTATGGGAGTGAAAGAGCAAGCTCAGGCTGCTCAGCATGTGGAGACAAATGGGCAGATGGTGGATGATATGCCTCAGTAGGACATTCTGAAACCTGGATGAGGATTGGAAATCCAGAAAGTCTCTGAACACAAAGAAAAACAAGATCAGCAGTGTTTATCTATTCAGCAAGTGTGTATTGAATACCCTGCTGTGTTTAGGCATCAGGACAGAGGTCTGACCTTCAAGGAACAAGGGGGTAGATAGGACCTACTCCTGCCTTGCCATTTCTCTAAGTACTAGAATTCCTGCTTCCAGGGGAACCAATTCTTGGGTAAAATTAGCAATGATGGCAAAGACCACTTTTACTGCTTCCTAGGTCCTATCACAGTGCCTGTGCACAAGTATCTGAGTAAGCTTGTCCATGAGTTTGTGACTGCAGATGCTGCTGAGGAACTTTCTTAAATTTATTCTCTTTTTCTTTTTTTTTTTTTTTTAAGAGATCAAGAGTGAGTCAGGGTTGGGGGGCGGGTGAGAGAGACAGAGGGAGAGAATGAATCTTAAGCAGGCTCCATGCCCAGTACAGAGCCCAACACAGGGCTTAATCTCACCACCCTGAGCTCATGACCTGAGCCAAAATCAAGAGTTGGACACTTAACTGACTGAGCCACCCAGGTACCCCAATTCATCCTCTTCTTAAATGCATCCTCTCTCAGCACTTGCCACAAGAGAGCCAGGACTGGGATGCAGATGGTTAGCATACTATCATGTTACATGGTTACTGTAGCAGGGGTGTTCTGGAAGTATCCCCAGAAAAGTCACTTGGAATGGAATAAGCTCAGGAGAAAAAACATCCATCAGAGTCTAGATGGCTTTTCATGATGAAGCTTCATTCATTGATTAACAGGCTTTGAGCATCTGCTATGTGCCAGATACCTTGCTAGGTGCTGGCCATGCTAAGGTGAATAATTCACAGGCCCTAACCCAAAGGATTTCACAATAGAGTCTTAGACATAAGCTGAATTTAAGCTGATCTAATGTCAAGGTTCTACATATCACCGAGGAGACTTTCACTGCCATTGTCTCTTGACAGGGCTCTAAATTCCAATGGGATCTGCGAGTCATTGACATATGGACTGCCCTTCATCCTCAGACCCACAAGCTGTTGGCAGCTGGACTGGGATGAGCTGGAGACAAATCAGCAGCACTTCCATGCCTTGTGTCACAGCCTGCTGGTAAGTATCCATGTTCCCAGGTGAGGAAGTAGAAGAGTGTTAAGGCACCAACCACAGAAAAGTAGCTAGCTTAATCCTACCTTGATCCCGAACGTGTCCCAACTCTCAAGAGGACAAGAAAAAACTGGAAATACTCTGAAATGTGGATTAAATATGACTTGCCTTTGTTGGTTTCATGCTATAGAGAATACTTCCTGAACTCAGTTATATGACAGTAAACTTGAAAATCCCTAATTTTGTACATTTAAATGGAAACGGTATTTTCCGTAAGTAACTATATTTTAACACTTCTCTAACACTGGGCTGGACATTATGGTTTATTTAAATGAAGAACACCTAGACTGTGCCAGACATCTTGCTAAACTGTAGATATTCAGTGGTAACATGAGAGACATTATCCATGGCCTCAAGAAACTTACTCTGTAATAAAAGAGACAGAATTTTATATATATGTATATATATACGTATATATAATATGTATATTATATATATTTAGAATTATATATAAATTACATAATTATAAAATGTAATTATGTATATAAATATTTAATTGTGAGAAGTTTATGAAGGAAAAGAAGAGCCTGCTGCCAGAAAGCCTCTCTGTGAAATGACATTTAAATTGAGACCTGCCAGTTTATGGGAATGGGAATTAGCCAGGTGAAGGGTGGCGGGAAGAGAATGCCTGGGAAAGGCATGTGCGAAGACCCCAAGCCTGGAAAGAGCTGAGAGAAGAATCAAGAATGGAAAGGCCATTGTGACTGAAACAGAGAGCCAAAAGGTGGGCTGGAGAAGTGAGCAGGGGTTAAATCATGCAAAGCTTTGTAGGTCAAGTTAAGGACCTTGGACTTTAAGTACAAAAAGAAATTATGAGAGATGATTTGAGTTTTTAAAAGATTACTTACACCAAACATTGGAAATGAACTGGCAGAAGCAAGAATGGGAACAAGAAAATGAGGTGGGAGAGCATTGTTGTAGTCTGGGCAAGAGATGATGGTGGCTTGGACTGGAATGTTGAAGTCAAGAAAAGTAAACCAATTAAAGAAATATTTTAGGGGCACTTCGGTGGCTCAGTTGGTTAAGCATCAGACTCTTGGTTTCAGCTCAGGTTGTGATCTCAGGGTCATGAGATGAGCCTGGCATCGGGCTCCCTGCTCAGTGGGCAGTCTGCTTGAGTTTCTTTCTGCCTTCTTCTCCCGCCCCCTCTGTTCCTCCCCCTCTGCTCCTTCCCCTGCTCCTATGCTCTCTCACTCTCTCTGTCTCTCAAATAAATGAATAAAATCTTTAATTTTTTAAAAAAAGACATATTTTAGAGAGAGAGTCAGTACTTGGTGAAGGATTGGATGTAGGGAGTGAGGAAGAGGAAGGTATCAAATAACTGCTTGGTTTCTGATTCAAATAAGTGGGTGCCCATTTCCTGAAATGGAAAAAAATAAAAGAGCTTAGGAACACTTAGAAAAGAGCATGAAACACTTGAAAAGCAAAATAAAACTGCAAATATAATTGAGGACAGGTCTAACTGCAAGTGGAAATAGAGGAACAGTTTGACCTAGTAGCATATGGGTGATCAGACCAGCACAGCAATGTGTCTCTTTCACTATCAGAAGCAGGCTTCTTTTTTCCTGTTTCAAAGCCCACACTCCCTTTTAGGCCCACCCACAGAGTTCCTGTTTCCTATCTGAAGAACACCCATCCCTGTCTTTGCAGAGCCGAGACAACAGATATATCCTGACCGTCAGAGCCCAAGAGCTCAGTTGACTATTTACTCTACCCTATCCCTCAGGATCTAAGAGATGCTACATCACTCAGGAAGAATTTCCCTCAAGTGGCTTCCCTACATTCTTATAGTACATGATATTTTAAACAGTTTGCATTTTAATACACTGCTAGAAGGAGTGTAAATTTTCTGGAAAGTGGTAACTACTTCAAAACTTTAATTTGATTGCTGGGAGTGTATGTAGCACAGGAAAACAATCAGCAAAGGGAGCACAGATGTATATACCAACATGCTTATCTCAGTGTTATTTACAGTGGTAAAAAATTCAAACAACCTAAATGTCCTAAATAGAGAAATGGTTAAATCAAAATAAGGGAAAGGTTATGGGAACAACAATTCAGCCAAACAATGAAATATTATGTAGCCATTAAAAATAAGGATGGGGGGCGCCTGGGTGGCTCAGTCATTAAGCGTCTGCCTTCGGCTCAGGTCATGATCCCAGGGTCCTGGGATCGAGCCCCGCATCGGGCTCCCTGCTCCGCGGGAAGCCTGCTTCTCCCTCTCCCACTCCCCCTGCTTGTGTTCCCTCTCTCGCTGTGTCTCTCTCTGTCAAATAAATAAATAAAATCTTTAAAAATAATAATAATAAAATAAATAAACAAAATAAAAATAAAAATAAGAATGGGAAAGAGTATTCTATTCCCTGCTGGCTTACATATATAAATCAGACTCTTCCTGCCTCTGAATTTGACATTTGAGCATCTATTTATTTATTTATTTATTTATTCATTCATTCATTCACTCATTCATTCATTAACAAATATTTATTGAGCACTATATGCCAGGTACCATTATAAAGGCCAAAGAGACTCTTATTTATCACTTCTCTATCGTGGAAATTCACAATTATGTGGCTGACCCATCACTAATAGATTACCCATGATTTGGAGCACTTACTAGGGGCTAGCCACTTAACCAAGTGCTTTGCATGCTTTATCTCACTTAATCCTCACAATAATTCTGTGAGATAGGGATTGTTGTCCCCATTTTTACATGTGTAGAAGACTGAAGTCTATAGAGATCAAGTGACTTACCAAAAGTCACATAGCTACCAAAGTGGCCAAGTCAGAATTTGAACCTAGTTCGTTGACTACAAAGCCTATGCTTTTAACTTTCTTGCTAAATTCCCTACCCGGGATGTAGCCAGATAAACACAGCCTACAACCCTGATGCTGATTCTTGCCTCACTTAACACCCCAGGCTTCTGTACTTCGCTGGACTTGAATTCACTTAAGGTGATGGGATACTTGTAATAGCTCCTCACCCATCTTGTGTTACTGTTGTCTCTACTCTGTGTTTGTTCCACATCAGCAGATTAAAGAACACTCTCCTTTTCTGGAAAAGACAGAAGCAAAACAGTGTTTGAATGGCTCTTCCTTCTTTGCTTTTCACATGACATATCCGAGCAGCAAAAATCCTAAAAGGCAGTGTGTTATACAGGGGAGAATTCCCCACAAGCCTCTTCTCTTGCATTCAACAAATCTTTCTCCAGTACCTACTATGTGACAAGACCTTATTTAGAGTTTGAACCTCTCTGGTGCTATATTTACAAGTTTTCAGCACTTCTCTAACTCCTTGGTTTTCTAGTCTTTCTTACACCTTTTTCATATGTTCTTTAAAAATCTGATGTTCTCAGCTCTCTGTGTAACTCTAGTCTTCTGTTTCTTACTGTGATGTTTCCCCTCCAGCTAACTTCTCATTCTAACTTCTGTCTTTCTGTTAATAGCGGTGCTACCATTGTTTGCTCACCCAGGCTTGAAACCTCAGTGACCTCCAGCCTTCTTGTCCTTTACACCCACTTCATCACTAAGTCATATCATTTTTCTTCTCATGAGTTGTAACTGTCCTTTCCTTCCTGTCCCCGCTGTTTATTCTCACCCAGGCTTCTTCAGTAAACTCCTAACTAGTTTCCCTACCTCCAATTTTTCCCTCTTCTAATTTGCCCTGTTTGTTAGGCCCCGTTAATCTTCCTGAAGCACTCCCCTGACTGCCACATGTTTTTCGGAGGTGCCAATACCCAGCGACGTAAGCCTTGCCTGTTCTCTCCCCATAGCATCTGCTGCATGTTTTTCTCCTCTCCATTCTTATCATCACCATCCTAGTTCAGAGTCTGTTTACCTCTTCCCTGTAATGTTGCAATAATCTCTTGTCTCAGTGCCTTTAGTGTTTCCCTTCCCAGTCCATTTTATATACTGCCACCTGTTTAATCTTCTTGAGACACAGCACTGATCCTGCCACTCTTCAGCTTAAAGATATTTTGTGGCTTATTATTGATTATACTTTAAAGTTCATATTCCTTAGCCAGTATTCAGACTCTAGTCCATCTCCCATCATCCCCTTTCATGCACCATAGAGTCCAGCCAAATTAATATACAAACTTTAAATTGCCACACCTTTGAACCTTTGTTCATATTGTCCCTTCTTCTCTCTCACCATATGTTCAAACCCTACCCCATCCTGAAAAACTCAGCTCAAATGGTACTTCTGCAATGAGGTCTTTCTGGATTCCTTTATTTATCATTAGACATTTGTGTGGTCTATTTTCTTTTTAGGAAAAAGAATGTTTCTATTAGCTTTTCAAATATATGATCTTATGATTTGGGTTAAAGTCTGTGATATAAGTCTGACTACCCAGACTCCAGGATAATAGGATTGCCTCTTCCTGGCATTTCTACCATTTTCCCATTTTACCAACTAATTTCTCAGCCTTAGTCAAAGTTAAGTTCAGAGTAGAAATTCTCCCTTTGTTACCTCTCTTTTTGGGGAGTCAAGGCAAGGAAGCTTTCTAATCTATTGTGGTAAAATGTAGTTTGTATTGTCCATGAAAATCATGGGCTTCGAAATCAGATGGCCCTAGGTTCCTGACAGCTTCATTATTTCCCAACTGTGTGAATTCAGGTAACATATTTAACCTCTCTATGCAACAGTATATTCATTTATTTGAAACCTTAACAAACCTAGTGGCCCCATTTGGCTAATCTCTGCATAAATGGTACACAAAGAAGCACTATCCAGAGGCCAAAAAGTAATTTTAAAATTTATTTGTACTTTCAAAGAACACCAAAGAGGAAATAGTTCATAACCCACAATGACATTTCTCAAATATTCTTCCTTCACTCCTCAATTATATCTAACCAGGAGCTATTCCAAGAGCCTTTCACACACACACACACACACACACACACACACACACACACACACACACAAAAATAAAACTATATCTACATCACCAGTCCCTGTTCCTCTACCTTCTTCCCTCTCTCAGCTATATACATATTCTATAGATTGGCTTAGCCCCTCTGACAGTCTGCCTCCCCCTCAGGTCCTGTCTCTCTCTTCCTATTTAAAACATCCAGGAATAGAATTCACAAGGCTTCTCCTTTTGTGAGTAGAAGTAGAGTGGGGGAGAATGAAAAAAGTAGAGTGGGGGAGAAAAAAAAAAGGTGCATGACAGACACACATTAGTAACCCTTGTCCCTGTCACATGTTAAATAGAGACAACAGGATATATCTCATATAGTTTTTAAGATGATTAAATAATATTGCATGTTTAAAGCACCTAGCTTATGTCTGGCATATGATTTGCATGTGGTGGTTGGTTAGCTGTTCTATGATTTACATTTGTTTCTTTTTTTTTAATAGATTCTAATTCTCTGGAGATATTCTCCATTTTCTCACCTATTTTTTTTTTAAGATTTTATTTATTTATTTGTCAGAGAGAGAGAGCATAAGCCGGGGAAGCGGCAGGCAGAGGGAGAAGCAGGCTCCCTGCTGAGCAAGGAGCCCAATGTGGGACTCAATCCCAGGATCCTGGGATCATGACCTGAGTCCAAGGTAGACACTTAACTGACTGAGCCACTCATATGTTCCTTTTTCACCTATTTTCTTGAACATACTAATCATAGCTATTTTAAAGTTCTTGTATGCCGATCCCAATACCTGGATCACCTGTGGCTTTGTTTTAGCTCTCTTTTTTTCTTCTGATTTTCAGACATGTGGTCCTGTCTTTTGGTGCACCTGGTAATATTCTAATGAAAGATGCTCAGTGTGTCTAAATAAATCGCAGAGGCTCCAGTTGGTATTCCTCTAGAGAGGGTCCATCCTGACCCTGCACTCTATGCAGATAGAGTGATGACACATCATCCTATTCTACTCAGAAGCTGTATTGAGTCCAGGCTGGACTGCAGTCCTACTAAGGCTCCATTTACCCCTGGTTTGCTCTTGGCCTTCCAGGATTTTCCCCTGAAACCTGGTATATTATGTGCATCCCCTTCCCTTGGACAACCCCAACTCTAATCACTCTATCCCAAGTCTGTTAAAATACACCGCTTCTAAAGGCTTTCTCTTGGGCGTTTTTGCCTCCTGCTCCATGTAGCCCCCATATTTGGTAAATGTGCTGAGTGAAAAATTGGTTTGAGCACCCACCCCACCCCTGGCTGGTCTCCACCAAAAGATCTGCTGGTTTCTCTGCTCCCTTGCAAGTGCCTCAGCATATGCAAATCCTAGATTCTCAGCTCCCATCTGCTCTCCCTCCAACTCAGAATCAACATGCACCCTCAGGGTAAAAGCAGTTGCAGTAATTTCCTCATCTCTCTGGATTCTTCCCTCTCACTTAGCTACCTCTCATTTTCATTGTCTCAGCACCTCCTCACTGCCTTCAGACAAATGGTTTCTGTATATTCCAGCTTTTCTAGCTGTTCTAGGCAAGAGAACCAGTGTGCCTCTGGCCATTCCATCCCACTCAGATGTAGAAGGAGATGCTTATTAAATGTTCATTCATTCCCCACTTCACATCCCTTATTCAGCTAGACAGCCTATAATACATTTTCTGGTTTACTCTCAGCCAGTTGGCTGGCTCCACCAAGTTCTCATTTTCAGGTTCCTGGGTTTCCTTACAACTATAAGCATAGCTCAGTTCATTCAATGCTGTCTCTTTCTCTGCCCCCTTCTTTTAGAGTAGTTCTTCTGAACAAACTCCACACTGCCATAATTAAATTCTAATCCTTAGTACCAGCCCACCAGTCCTCATCAACTATAAATGTCGTGTAACTTTTCTAATTACACTTTACACATGCTCTAAATCTTAGTTGACTACAGCCTTAAATGTTGTTCCATCCCCTGATTTTCTTAGATGAGAATTGACTGTTATATCTTTCCATCCTCCTCATAGATTATTTTGTTTTATTTGAGTATTTTACTTCCTTTTCCTCAGAAGAATATCACTTCATCAGATAAGCAAGGCTCTTGATAAACCCATTCCCTGGCCCTTCCTGAAAGATGTGTGCCATCCATCCATTCCCATACATTTCATTCTTAGATCAATCCAGACCACAAGAGAACAATGTGTTTTTACTTCATTCTCTGGAACTTTTATAGATCTATATCTAAGAATTATACATTACTTTTAATTTCACAAAATTTAGTAAATATTATCTAATAATTATTCAATATATTTTTGTTTAAAAAGTTAACACTTCATGGTGCCAATTGTTTGCCTGAAGCAGTTCTAAAGACTTCACAAATATTAATTTATATAATCTCCATAACCATCTGTTGAAGTAGGAATAATTATCTTTTTTTTTTTACAAATGAAGAAATTGAGGCCTAGAGAGGTTAAATAGTTTTCCAAGATTACACAGCTAGTAAATGGTAGAGCCAGGATGGAATCCAGAAAGGTTGACTCCAGGACCCAAACTCTTAACCATTCTATAACTATATGAAGTTCATTATCATATTGATTGCAGGAGTTCTCTGAAATACATCCACTCCTCAGTAAGGATCCATAAGATAACTTCTCAAACACTTTTATCAGGAAAAGCTGTGGAGCTCCCTTTTAGCAAAAATGGGTGGTTTGCATTTCTCTGAGCTTACCTAATCTTGGCTCTTTTATTGCCCTACCCTTATTTTTCCTTTGTCCAATCCCTTGTGTATTTTATCTTTTTTGTATTGTTGCATTTTTCTAAACTGGCATAACTGCTTTGTGGAATGTGGTAGAGAATTAATATATAAATAAATAAATAAAATTAATTTTTCTAAGTATTTATGAGATGAATTTATCCATCACCAGGAAAACATAATTTCAATTACCAAATCCTACTGTGTAGTCCCAGTTATGTAGCTAATGACTCACTTTCCACATCCTCATTTCTCTTACAAAGTCATGTCTGTATGAACTAGAAAAAGAAATGAAAATACCACCTAGGTCTTTCAATTTCCTACTTAAAATGTCAGAGTCTCTTGAGACACATTCCAGAGCTTTACAGGCTATGTCTGCCCTAATTGGCCACAGAAGTGACAGAATTCAAGCCAGGATGTGTCCAGCAGGAGAGTAACTACATAGGCAATGACCTGGTTGGGCTGTAAATGGGTGGGGAAATGGAAAGTCCTTGGTTACATTAGGCAAAGAGTCAAGAACAAGAATCCAAGCTGAGAGTGGGGTGATAGCAGGTCAGGAGCCATTAAAAAAAAATCAGAATGAAGTTAGTGTGTTGGGCTGGAGGGGAAACAGACAGATGCTAGAACAGACAGCAGGCTAACATGGGATCCATGGGCTTCTTGTGACCCAGCCTTGTTTGTTTCTCTTGCTTCATCTTTTACCATGCCCCTTCCATCCTTTATTCCAGTCACACTAATAAATTGCTAAATGTACCCCAAATATGCCAAACTGTTCCACACCTCCGTACCTTTTTTTTCATGCTGCTTCCTTTCTTTTGCCTCTCCCTGACAAATATCTACCCATTTTTTCCAGATTCTGCTTAAATACCTTCACTAGGAAGCTGTTCCTGCCCCCACCACAGCCTGCCCCCACTCATTTTTTTGCCCTTTACCCACCCATATACCTGGTTCTCACATCTATCTTGACCTTCACAGCAGTGGTAAAGGGTATGAGGGTGTACCTTAGCATTCTGATGTGAGAAATGTCATATTGTATTTTTTTCTAACCCAAGTTTAGAAAATATTAATCCCCAAGAACTAGGATGTTGACACACCCAATATCTTTATGAGTGCCTCTCCCTAACTCATACTCAAAATCCTAGAGCCCTAATAGTCCAGAAAATGTGGAAAATGGCCCTCTGGTCTTCAATACACCTCCAGTACAATGTTGAATAGAATTGGCAAGAGCAGACATCTTTGTCTTGTTCCTGACTTCAGGGGCAAAGCATCTGGTCTTTCATCACTACTTATGATGTTAGCTGTGGGATTTTTGTAGAACTCTTTGTCAGGTTAAGTTCCACTCTGTTTCTCATTTGTTCGTGAAAGGGTTTTGGATTTTATCAAATGCTTTTTCTGCATGCATTGAGATGATTATGTAGTTTTTGTCCTTTATTCTAGAAACATGGTATATTACATTGTTTGATTTTTGGGTATTAAACCAACCTTGCATTCCTGGGATAAATCCCACGTGGTTGTGATATATATAGTTGATCCTTGAACAACATAGGGGGCTAGGGGTACCAACCTCTCATGCAGTCAAATCCATGTATAACTTTTGACTTCCCAAAAACTAATTGCTGAATTTGGTCCCAGGACATCATATTGATGGCAGACCAAGGAAGGGCCAGTTTGGTGAGATTAAAGATCTTACCCGTTATAATAAATTCCCATCCATCCTGGCAAGGCCTATACTGGTATCATTAAACTTGTCCTTTCTACTTCTGTCTCCCCATTAGCTATATCCTCTTCCTTTCCTTTGCTATCTGTAAAGGACCCCTTTGGCTGCAACTAACAGACCAATCCAACTCTAACTTAAGTAAGAGTTTATTTTTCTGATATAACAAGAAATGTGGGGACAGACAATTCTGAGACTGATACCATCAAAGACCCAGGATCTTTGCATTTCTCCACTGCAGCCTCCATAGCAAACGTACTTCATCCTTATGCCTGTTCCTCATGTGGCTATTGTGCCTTAAGACCAAGCCCTATCCTAGGGAAAAGGAGTACAGTCAAGAGGCAAAAAGCCTGCCAGCATATTATAAAGCTTTTCCAGAAGTCTCACACAGCAACTTCTGCTTATGTCTCATTATTTAAATCTAGGTCACATGTCACCCCAGACCAATCACTGAAAAACTGAAAAATGTGTAGAGAGAAAGGAGAGGGGCAGGGAGGGTAGTGGCCAGTCAACCAACAGTGGTTACCACGCCTTCTTTCCCAGCCTTAGAAATTAGAAGTTAGGGCAGAGGTGGGGGAGAATGAGCTTGGAGTATGGCATGCCCTTCAACTCTGCCCCTGTCCATACCTGTTCTAAACAGAATCAGTGCCCACCTTCTAAAATCTAAGCTCCCTAGCACCTTCTGTAGCAAACACAACAAATACAGATACATTTTTTACCTGCTTTCTGGTAAATTCAGCATCTAACTCATTCTCCTTATTTTAGAATTAGCAAAGGGGCACCTGGCATGTGACTCTTGATCTTGGGGTTGTGAGTTCAAGCCCCGTGTTGGGTGTAGAGATTACTTAAAAATAAAATCTTTTTTTAAAGATTTTATTTTATATCTTTTTATTTAGTTGATAGAGAGACACGTGAGAGGGAGCACAAGCAGGGGGAGTGGGAGAGGGAGAAGCAGGCTTCCCGCTGAGCAGAGAGCCTGATGCGGGGCTCAATCCCAGGACCCTGGGATCATGACCTGAGCCGAAGGCAGACACTTAACGACTGAGCCACCCAGGTGCCTCTTAAAAATAAAATCTTAAAAAATAGAATTAGCAAAAACAGATTTTGTCATCTGCCATCATTAAGCATTGTTCAATTTGAAGACCCCAAAAGCTAGTCTTCTGGGACATCCCATGTCTTTTCTCAGCCTCACATACCTGCCCTGGCAGCTAAACATTTCCATCACAGGTACAACTGCCTGTACCTACAAGTCAACCCATGACCTGGGTAACATGTTCAAGCTTGGATCCTGGACTTCAGATCTCTAGTGCCATTAACCACTATCCGGATAGGAAAGGGTTAGAAATTCAGAGTCCAAAATAAGGACCTTAAAATTCAACTTCCCTATCTCTCATTTTCCCCAAATGTTCCTGGGA